CTGTTTCTCAGACGTGTCCAACTCTGCGGGTCACGCCATGGACTATACACACATCTCTGCTTCTTACAGGAAAGAAAGAGAACATCAATTCAAACTTCCCTATACAGTTTCTACATCAACCTCAAAAAAGTTTACCATTTAATTCAAAAGCATTTGCTGAGCACCTACCATGTGTGATACACTAAGGATCCCAGGTTCAAGGAGATCCTGGCCCCCATCTTGGCATGGTGGTTACAGGGTATACAAAACTGGCAGCACTCATCAAACTGTACACTTAAGATATGTTCATTTTATGTAAAATATACCTCAGTAGAAACATAGGCTATTCAAGGAAAGATAACAAAAATAAACATTTAGAGTTTATTACAGCTGGCATAATAATTTCAAGTAAATTAATTTGTGATGTGAATTTGACTACTCTATGTGCTACTGTGTATACAGCCCTGGATATTGGATGAAGTAGATGGGCCCTCTTTATGGAATTTGGAATGTTAATATTTTGTAGTTGCTATAAATGACTATGATACCATTTCATTAGTTGTATAAATTACTTTTAATGGTGGCACATATCAATACATAAGCTTTTAATTAGCAGACATGGGTTGAAAAACGAGTTTTCTCTGTGATTTGGGGAAAATGACCCAAACCTGTTTCATCTGTAAAATGGAGTTAATGTCCTACTTCATAGCATTGTTGTGGTGACTAAATGAAAAAAGTGCCAAGTCATAGTAAACATCCCCTCTCTCATATCATCTCCTCCCAACATCTTTTGATGTCATCTTTCATCAAGGCTTTTTTTTTTTAACCAATTATGAATAACACAAGAGAATAATACTGGCCTTTTATAATGACACATAAGTTTCCAGTTCTCAAAGCATTTTACACTTAACACATATAATCTTATGCACCCATTCATTCTTATCGAATATCTACATGTCAGGACCTGTGCTAGCCTCTAAAAATACATAAAAATATCCTGTGTTTATGTAGTTTGCATTTTCAAAGTGAGGTAAGATTATACATATATATATATATATATAATCAGGAGGATAAAATTTCTTTGAAGACAAGGTGAAATATGAGAATAATGGGCCAACAAGACATGCAGGTGGCCACATGAAGAAACTTAATATCACTACTTAACAGGGAGATGTAAATCAAAACTATATACAATGAAGGTATCAACTCACACCAGTCAGAATAGCCAACATCTATAAACAATAAATGCTAGAGAGGGCATGGAGAAAAGTGATGCCTTCTACACTGTTGATGGGAATGTAAACTGGCATAGCTACTATGGAGAACAGTATGGAGGTTCCTTAAGAAATAAAAATAAAGCTTAAATATGATCCAGTACTCTCACTCCTGAGCATAGATCTGAAAAAAATAAAAACTCTAATTCAAAGATACACTCACCCCAATGTTCACAGCAGCACTATTTACGCTAGCCAAGATAGGGAAGCAACCTAAATGTCCATTGACAGATAAATGGACACATACACACACGAATACTATTCAGCCATAAAAAAATGAAATACCATTTGCAGCAATGTGAATGGAACTAGAGATTATCATACTAATAATCAGAAGTAAATCAGACAAAGACAAATATCATGATATCACTTACTCATAGAATCAAAAAAATGATATAAATATTTACAAAACAGAAATAGACTCACATAGAAAATAAACTTATGGTCACCAAAGAGGGATAAATTAGGAGTTTTGTATTAATAGATACACACTATTATATATAAAATAGATAAACAAAGACATATTACATAGCACAGAGAACTATATTCAATATCTTCTTATAACCTATAATGGAAAAGAATCATATATATATATATGTATGTGTGTATGAATACTGAATCACTTTGCTGTATACCTGAAACTAACACAATACTGTAAACCAACTATACTTCAATTTTTAAAAAATAAAATTTAAAAAAAGACAGTGAGTGACAAGACTGGTGTGGAGTTTGCTATTTTACGTAAGGATCAGAGAAGTCATCCCTATCAAAATGGCATGTGGGCAGAGAACAGAATAAAGCCACGCACATGGATATCTAGGAAAAAGAATTCCAGCAGAGAGAATAGCTAACTCAAATTCCAAAGTGAGAACATGCCTGGCCTTTTTGAAGGACAAGAAATCAAAATAGCAAGAGTGCAAGTGAACATGAAGAATCCTAGGTGAGTAACAGATCAAAGGCACATAAAACCAGCTTTGTTTTGTAGGTCATAGAAAGGATTTGGGCATTTATTCTCAGTGAGATAGGAAACCACTGGAGAGTTTTGATCAGGATGTGATGTGATCTTACTTTTAAAAGGATCACTCTGGATATGATAGGGAAGACTTTAATGCCTACTGGGAAGCAAGAAGGCTACTGCAAGACTAGGACAGTATTCACAAATCTGAGTTGTACCGTCATGACAGGGCTTTTTAAAACACAGATTGATCGCACAAAAAGATGTTCACAAATGATCATAGCAGCTTTATTCATAGTAGTTAAAAACTGGGAACAACTCAAATGTCCTCTACATATATCCACACCATGGACTACTCAGCAATAAAAAGGAATAAACTGAATAAACACAAACCTCAATCCATCTACAGAGAATTACAGTGAGTGGAAAAAAGCCGATCCCAAAAGGTTACTTACTGTATGATAATTTATGTAACTTTCTTACATATGAAAATGCAATCAGAAAAACCATAGAAATGGACAATAGATTACTAGTTGCCAAGGGTGTGAGGGAGGGAGGTAAGCTATTAAAAAGGCAACCTGAGGGATGCTTGTGGTAATGGAAAAGTTCTGACTGTATCAACATCAATATACTGAAATCATATAGTCTTACAAGATGCTACCACTTGAGGAAACTAGGTAACACATACAGAGATCTTTCTATATGGGTTCTTACACTGTATTGAATTCTACAGCTATCTCAAATAACAAGTTTAATTTAAAACAACGCTGGAAGTAATTAAAACACAGATCATTGGAGGTCATCCCATTTCTGATCCAGGAAGAGCTGAAAATGTGCTCTGCTAAGAAGCTTCTAGGACTAGCATTGCTAGTCTAGGATCAGCCATGCCGACCACACAGAGCAGGAAACAGCTACCCACTCTAGTATTCTTGTGGTTTAGGGACTAACACACTGAGACAAGTATTATCCCTATTTTGCTGAAGAAACTCCAGTCTAAAGAGTAAGTGACTTCTCTATGAAGGGCAGCAGAAACTAAGTAGCAGGACCAGGACGGACTCAAATCAGGTCCTATCAGCTCAGGGTTTGTCTAAGTGAAATTAAGGTCAGAAATACTCATGTTAGATCAACAGGGCTGCACTGTCCTAAAATCTAAAGTTCAATAAAATGCTGCTTAATTATAAACATTTCACAAACCTTCAGAAATAAACTTTAAAGTGTAGACTTAGTCTCAGTTCTTATCCTGTGCCTTGAACAAATGCTTAAATTCTGTTCCTTAGCTTCCTCAGATATAAGAACTAGGAACTAGTCCCTTTCTACTTAATTCCCAATTTCTTACTTAAAAAATATTTGGGGGTTTTATAAACAGCTACAAGTTAGCTCCTAAAAGTATAAAACCACTTGTTTCCTACCCACATAAGTATTTTATCAAATTGGGCACTTGCCATAGCTTTCTCAAGTTCTAGAAAGCCTGAGTGAAAAAGAAAAATGTGTACGAAAATACTAACAAAAATTCACTGACAACCCATTTAGTAGAACGAATGGGGGTGTAGAAGAAGGCAGCCACAATTTTAAGCAATTCTAAAGGATTTAAAAGCTAGTCAGAGCTCTTAGCAAAATCATACGTGCTCAGATTCATGAAATGTTAAAGCAATTACATTAAGTACATACCAGAAATGATTTCCCTGCAGTTAGCTCTCCAGAATTCCACTTTAAAACTCCCTTATACAATAAGCTTCCATAATAGTCTACATCTCCATGGCAAAGATAACAAAACTTGAGAAAATAGGTTTAAATTGCCAAGAGGGCGTTACATTAGAAATGAGGAGGAAATTTCTGGTAATGATTGCTCCAGTTACCTGAGATTACATTCATGATCAATCTCTGACCCAGACGTTTAAAATATTCAACATTCAATCCAATGGGCTCCTCCCAAATTGTGTCATCTCTTGTTCCAGGCCTACTTTCCTATAATTAATTACAATTCCCCAAAATAAGTAAATAGATCTATTTTGTTAGGATTACAGAAGCTAAGTTTAAGAAAAAGGGAGGTGAGGGGTGCTTTCAAATACAGATAAAGGTCCTAGGAAACCACAACATAGAACTGAACTAGTTCCCATAAATGCCTTTATCATAAAATAGGAAGCACTACTGTTCTGTGTAGCTCTCCATGGGCTCCTGCTCAGCCACCTCCAGCTTCCTAGTGAGGGAAATTTTAAGACTCACATTTAACTCACAAATCAGACATATAAGCCTCCAATGCCATTCTCATGCCCTGCCAACACAGCCGAAGAATCCTATTTCATCAGAACGTCACCCCTGGAAGTTAGGGCCCAGTATGTCACAGAGAGCTCTCTCTCCTTTTACTACCTCAGAACATCTCAAAAGGAGTTATTAATTCACTGCAAAGGGAAACTGGAATCCATTTGTTAAGGGAATGGACATGAATTAACTTGGAAATGTTCTTATTTTTCAAAGTATCATCTAGACACACAGATCCCTGTTTTGAAAAAGTACCAAATGGCTAAATTTTTACCTGACAGTCCTATTAGGTTCAATTCAAAAAGGACTCAAGACATAACAATGTTAAAAACATTTATTTTAATACAGTCTGTCATAAATAAGTCAGTAGAGGTTCCACTCTGCCACAGACGCATCTGAGAAGTAAGAGCCCTGTGCCATCCACTTGGTGACCGTCTGAACGATGTCCCATCTTTTATCCCAGCCAGAGAGCACACCTTCCATGCTGTTCCTCTGCATTGACTGCTTCCAAAACCAGATGACCAAACAGTCCTTTATCCCCAAAGTAAGCTAAAACGTTTGTGAAGAGGAGAAATAAATTAAACCCCAACGTAAAAACTTCTCAAACACAGCTTAAGAACTAGAAGATTTTATACATTTATGTTCATGTTTACTCAACCATCAAATTCAAAATTAGCAGAAGAATCAATCTCACGGAGCAAAACAATCAGAGACCTATTTAAAGAAATACAATTTTATTACTTTTAATTGTAGTTACCTATTATAAACAAAAAGGAAAACAGAAATTGAGGTCAATCAAAAGAGTGACATGAAGGATTGATGAAACCAGAAAATAAAGGTACATCCTTGTTAGATATAGGAAGGAGACAAGATGTGTCTTATTTCTAAGTCCTGTTGATTAAAAATGTAGTTTCTAGTAGTAAGTCAACTTAAATAAAATTGCATTACAAAATGACAATATGAGCATTCTATTAAGTTTGTAAGTTTGTATTTAGAAAGTATTTTCCTTTTGTGTATAAAGCAAACCAACATGCACTTATTTTCAATTTTCAAAAGTGTATTAAAATCTCCCATTAAATCCCAAGTATATTTGCATACATTAAGATATGAAAACAAAATATTCATTTATCAAGGTCTCTCCCTCATTGGTAATGAGCATCTAAGATAAACAGAAAAGAAAATCTTCCTTGGCCTTATACAGACAATAGGAACAATCATTCTCCCAGTTAGTTAATATTCATGTATTTTGCCTAAATAATGTTTTACTAAGATATTGCCCCTTACTCACTAAATATTGCATTTTGAATAAGGCATTCATATCAAACAACCTAATACACAGAACCATCCTGTGTGAAAGAGGATGGATACTGATGAATGGAGACCTAATGCCAAGGAATCCAACAACTTAACAAGGAAAATACACCAGTAAATCTTGAACCACATTATTTTCATAAGTACTATATCAATAAATTTGTATATAAACAATAAACTTTATATTCCTGAGTTTTACATTAATAAAACAGTTACATTACTGAAAACCCTGACAAATACAAGTCTATTCCTTTCCGGGTACAGACTAGGCAACCCAGGAAGACCTCTTTGGTCAGTCTCCCCAGTATAAGCAGCATAGTATACGAAATTCTGTAACAGGATAACCCTTCTCAGCACTCAGTTCCTTCCTAAATCACAAATACCCCTGGAAAGAAATCAGAAAATGTCCCTAATGACAGAAAAGAATGATCATCACCACCAGAAAGGAGAGAAGCACTGAGATGACAATAAAGACATGAGAAAGCAGTGGGGGGTGGCTGCCTCACTGTGAAAGGTCAACTCTTGGTGAGATATCTGAAGCCAATACAACAGATGGGCACATCTATCCCCACTTCTGGGTTCTGTATCACCTGGAGCACAAAATGCTGTTTCTCAGCACGCAGGTCCAGTCTAAAAACTGTACAAGAAGAAATGCTATATCAATTCCTGTCCCAACACCACAAAGAAGTTAGGATCTTTTAATTAAGTTAATTCAGCACTTTCAAAGTGTTCCCAAAGTATCTGGCAGCTACTTCAGGTACTCACAGGACAAAACGAACAAAAACAAGCAACAAGCTTAATACAAAGCAGAGAATGAGACATGGAACACAAAAAATGGAGCAGTTTCTGCTAGGAGAAGGTGGAAAAGATTTAAGGAAGAGGTGATAAATTTGAGATTGAGCTTTTCTAAAGGTAGGTTTTCATCCAGTGGAAACTGAGGGAAGAAGCATTCCAGGCAGACAGAGAACAAGCAAACAGACAAAGGCATGAAAAAATAGTTTATTCTGAGATTCACACACAGTATCATGTAGCAAGAGCCTGGTTTTCACAGGAGAAAAAGTGGGGTGAAGGAGATGACAGAGAAAGGCTAAAAATTATTATTAAGTTTATTGCTCATACATTATGTGTCAGGCACTGTTAATACTTTACATACAATAATCTTATTAAATTCTCAGGACAATCTTATAAATTAGATATTATAAACTTATAAAAGATGAAACTTCATCTTAGGTTAATAGCCTCTTGGAAGTAAGTATTTGATAATTTTCAGTCCTTGAAAAATGTTCACACAGCTGGACCAGGTAGCCCCATCTCTGACAGTATTCCCTAAGGTACTGTTTCACTGAGGAAATAACTGGTCTAAGGTCAATCAGCTACTCAGGAGCAGACACGTTACCTGAGTCCCCATTTTACAAAAAAGAAAACTGATAGTTCAAGGAGTAAAAACTCAAAAAAAAAAAAGCTTGATGGGCACCTCTGAAAGCAGTTTTAAGAGGCTGTACCACAGAAGATTAAGAAAAGAGATGGAAGTGAAGAAAGGAAGCAGGGAGTGAAGGCCATTCATTGAAGAATTTTATCAGTAAAGAGTAACAGCATAAATGGACATGTAGACGGCACATTTAGCAGAACCCTGAAGAAAAAACCTTGCTTTGAGAAAAGGAGAGACTGGCAAGGCAGAGAAGGTAGAGGAAATTCATATCAGATGGCATTGTGCTAAGTAAAGTAGCAGATCATATTATCTGGGGGAGGCCACATGACCCAGTGGAAAGTGTACAGGCCTTGGGGAAAGACATACTCCACTGCCCACCGACTGTATGATCAGCTCTGAAGGACTGAAGTAGCAATTAGAGATGCTGTATATAAAGCACTTAATACAGTGGCTGACATGCTACAAATGACTGTTAGTAATATGACCATTATTATTCTTCCCATTCTAGAAAATAGTAGCTTAGATTAAGAGTGTGTAGAAACAGAAGATCTAGAATAGCAGTAAAAAGTCTGTTAGGACAATCCACAAGAAACGTCTGGGAGACAGAAGGTCAAGGTGGAACTCCACAGCACCTGTGCAGGGGCGCTACTCATCACAGTGCTATGAGTACCAGTCCTTTCTACAGAGCAACTCTTCCTGTTCCAGATTCTGCCTTCACACATACACACACACACATATATACACACAGGCACACATACGGTTTTCACAAGTATGTACACACATGTGCATGTGAGTATATGAATACATATACTCTGTGTAGCTGTGTGTATGTATGTGGAAGTTTTCACCAATGTTTATCCAACACCATCAAGGCTGTTTTGGAGAAAGGAAATTTGAAAGGAATGCATTTTCAGAGCCACAAATGTCTGTACACTGACATTAATCCCATAAAAATTTATCACAAGGAAATAAATCAAAATCTATAAGACCTATGCACATAAAAATGTTTGTTATATTGTTAGTTAAAATACTAAAAAAAAAACCTGAAAAACCTAAGTGATCAACAAGTGGAAAATACATGGACTATCAATTCTAATTTGGGGTGAAAAAAAAAAATCCTCTGTACTGTTGTTAGAATGATACAAAAAGTTCCACATATCTTAATAAGGATAAGACAGGAATATGGGAATTAAGAACAGTTCAGCTTTTAAAGTGGCAGGATAAGTTAGTTCTTTTCTTTTTAAAACATGCTTCATTATGGATATAACACAGCACAGTAAGTAAAAATTAGGAAGAGGAGAGAAAGCAGTTACCTGATAATGAAAGTTAGACTGGTCTGCAAATTGTTGCAATTTTCCAACAGCCCAAAACTACACCTGACCGATAAAGCTCCATTACAATACCTAGCACTTCTCTTCTGCTTGCCGTGATTTAGTACTTATATATGAACATTTGCCCTGCGATGCTTATTTGTAAGAGCAGTACCTCAAAACAGTTGGTTCAGGCATTCCAGGATCTGCACCCCTCTTAAATCCTGGGGGAAAGGGAGAGGGGAAGAAAGAGAATGAAGACCAATTAAAACTCTAGCAGACAAAAAATTTACAATGTTTTCTTTCTAAATCAATACTCGGTAGCTAGAATGACATCCACGTCTACCAGAACTACCTAGATTTACCTGTGCAACAGAATAGTTTTGAATCTTCACTAGAGTATGTGATCATGTGCATAACTAATCAGTAGGGAAGACAAACTACCTTATTCCTGTAATAGTAGCCTACTTAGCACACACTATCTTTCATTCTTAGTCATTACCCACAAAAAAGACAAACTACCAAATCAAACTGAATGAAGGACTACAAAGAGTACTATGACTGTTTTTTAAAAGCATATATTTTTTTAAAAACTTACTTTTTATTTTGTATTGGAATATAGCTGATTAAAAATGCTGTGCTGATTAACAAGGCTGTGCTGGCTTCAGGTGGAGAGTAGAGCAACTCAATACATATCCATGTATCCATTCTCCCCCAAACTCCCTCCCATCCAGGCTTCCACATAACACTGTGCTGCACGGTAGGTTATCCATTTTAAATACAGCAGGGTACACCTGTCCATCCCAAACTCCCTAACTATCCCTTCCCCTCATTCTTCCCCACCCCCAGGAGTTTGTTCTGTGAGTCTGTGAGTCTGTTTCTGTAAAAAATTATACTTTTTTAAAGAAAAAAATTGAAGATATTTTATCCCCATGAACCTCTCTTTACAAAGCAACCAAAGACTGGTGATAGAGGGGAAAAAAACTTCAAGCTATTGTTAATTAAACCAATGCTCTTATTACAAGCAATAGCTGTAATCAGACTAATCAGCATTTAAAGATGAACGCTGACCCTGGGTTTGGGGAACCAGAATCTTTTATAATGGGCAGGGACAGCATGCCTTCCCTTGACCCTGGTACTATTTTCCAAAGCTGCCCACCCTACAAACACCCTTAAAAGCATGAACAAAGGGTGGCCACTGCCTCTGCTCACAAGATTTGTAGAAATTCAAGACACTGTGGAGAACTGTCTTCCAACAGGTAACCTACTAAAATCTTTTCGTTGATAAATGTCCAAACAGATGCTTTATCGGGTCACTGTCTTATTTTATAGCACTATATTCCCACTGTCCTTCCAGAAGCCCTAAAAGGTTATGTTTGAACCTAAACTACACAAGAAATTCAATATGCACTTGCAAGGTTTTACTGAGAAGTAAAGCATGGGAACTAGGTCAGACCTAAAATTAACCTTAGATACAGTATAAGGAAAAAACAATGGTTAACAAGGACAAATAAAAAGATAGCCTTAACATCAATCTCCACCTGAGCTAGACACAAGGGTACCAGCACTAAACAGCAGGATTACTGGTAATCCTAGCAAAAAGAACATAGCCAGTGTGCACGAAAAGGAAAATAATTTTAGGGTCGAAAAGAAAAGCATTATCTACTCTTCAGACCAAAACCCTCCTTATACAGATTTTAACAATCAGCTGAAGCTTTCTGGCAACAGAAAAGGAATTTCAAAAAGGAGAGGCGAAAAAGGTACCTGAAAAAGACTTACAGAAGAGCAAAGAATCCACAAGGACAAAGAAAGCAGGAGCAGAGTAAAATGGGACCCGACATACACAACAATAGAAAAATGACATAGAACAAAGATGGGGAAGAATCAAAGACCCCGTAACTTCCTTCCTTAGCTAAAAGGACAGCTCCTCCCAGTGTTTGCCTAGCAAAACTGGGCCCTTCTACAGTTAAGTGAAGGCTGGCAAGGAGGACAGTTGGGAGAAGGAGGGGAATAACAGCCTGTAAGAGCAGGCTACTTGCTCGCTCTAATTTTCAATTTACACAAAGTTACTAAAATCCAGGGAACTAATGCTTCTTTTAAAAATGCAGTACCTCCCTGGTGGTCCAGTGGCTAAGGCTCTCTGCTCCCAAAGCAGGGGGCCAAGGATCCATCCCTGGTCAAGAAACTAGATCCTACAAGCTACGACTAAGAACTGGCACAGCCAAATAGGTAGTAGTTATTTTGTTTTTTTTTTTTTTTTTAGGTCGTAGTTTTGAAAAAATGTGTTGTAGGGACTTCCCGGGTAGTCCGGGAAGCGGTTAAGAATCCGCTCTCCCACTGCAGGGAGTGCAGGTTCAATATCTGGCAGCGGATGTTTCACATGACCACGGTGCAGCCAAACCCTCCCCCCCCCCAAAAAAAAGTGCGTTCAAAATAAGGGAGGAAAAGGGTCTTTTCAAGCCCTGCATTCTGAAGTATGTCCAGGTTATTAGTTGGCTTGCAAGTCATGGGGAAATGGGAGCCACAATTGCCTACAGAATATCCAGCATAATCAAACGCTCCGTCAAGGCTGAGTGAATGTACTGCGTTTTACAAAAAGACATGACACCTAAAAAACATAAAACCAAAAACAAGAAGCAGCATCTAGTTAAAAATCATAGGATTGTGAAATGTGAACCGGAGTTTTACAAAATGTCAAAATTTACGTTCAAACTGACAAAGGCGAAACGCTATCCACTCCATCCTACTGCCTGAACAAGGCAATCAGTTTAAAATTACAAAACTACCCCAGGGAAGAAACAGTGTAAAGTCTCAATGTGCGGCCCTAGGCAAAAATATGTGCCTTACCATTTTCAAATTTCTACAATACAGCACGGTGGTTAAGAGTATCCTTGATGGCCCAATGCTTGACTTCTTAGCTCCCCCATTTGACAGCTGTCTGGCCTTCAGCGAACAAACTGTTCTATGCCTTGGGTTCCCCGCGCGTAAAACCTCTACCTGCACGTGAGAACGCAGAAGTATCCGACAACAACTGTCAGAATCATGCCTCAAGGCAGTGGCATGGCCAAGAGGCTTACGAGCCTCTTTCCACTTGGGCCCGCCTAAGTGGGAACTTCCCGGAGACGCACCTAGGGTCCAAATATGAGCTAATCGCTTTCACACACATCAGGTCTTCAGGTCCACGCACATCAGGACTTTTCAGGTCCCCAAAATCCACCTCTTGCTTACAGATGTATTAACAGCATGGGAAATATTATGTGACTTGTTCAAGAACAGAAAGAAAAAAAGGGGGGGAGGGCTGGTTATAGAACAAGAACACGAACTCAGCTTAGACTGACCGCACTTGACCAGAGAGCCTCGAAAGACGTGCTCGGCGTGGTCGAGTTTCCCCCTTACGCCTCAGGCCAAAATGGAGTCTCAGCATCCGCAACCCCTTCCCTCCCGTCTCCTACCAGGTTCTTCTCCCACTGACCCAGGTAAATCACGAGAGGAATAAAACCCCAGCGGATGGCAAATTGTCCTCCCTTGAAAAGCTGCTGCAGCCTCTGCTTGGCCTCTTTGCTCAGCTTCACCATTGCGACAGGGCTGGCGACAACCGTGAGAAAACAGGAGCAAACGCGTCAGGAATCGGAACGAAAGGAGACGCGCACGCGCCACACCGGCCTTTACGGCAGGAGTCGTGAGCGTCGCCAAGCGAAGGTCGCAATTCATCGTCCTTAACCTGCCTCGCCCCTCCGCGGCCCCGCCTGTGGAAAGCGCATGCGTTGTTGATTCTCTTCGTTAGCAGGCTCAAGTTCCCTTTTGCACTATTTAGGAATTGTCAGGTTTCTTTGATTGCTGGATGCCTGGGGCAATGCTCAGGGATTCCTTCAGCCCGGAACGCCCTTTCTCTTCCTAACAGCCTCACCCACTTTTCAAAGTTTATCTCCAAGTGTTTTTTATCTAACAGGGAAGGAACATTAAGGACTGAATATTAGTCCCAACTTTTATTCTCACTTGCTGTGTATTCTTGGACAAGTTATTTAACTTCCCTCTTTATCAGTTTGTTTCGTCAAACTGAAGTTTGATCTGCAAGGAAGATCACAAAAGTGAAAAGTGAACGTGAAATCGCTCGGTCGTGTCCGACTCTTTGTGACCCCATGGACTGTAGCCCCCCAGACTCCTCCATCCATGGAATTTTCTAGGCAAGAGGGCTGGAGTGGGTTGCCATTTCCTTCTCCAGGAGATCTTCCCGACCCGGGGATCGAACCCGGGTCTCCTGCATTGCGGGGAAGACGCCTTACCGTCTGAGCCACCGAGGAATCAAGGAATGTCCCAAACGGACACCCGACAGAGCGTCTGTTCATGTCTTCTTTGACTCCCAAAGTATTTGGTTGTTTATTTTTACATTTTAAATTACTTGTCAGCATTCTAAAGTTTGGGAAGGTTCGCATGAAAATCAGGACGTTTTCAGAGAACGGCGAATTTCATTGCAGTCAGCACCCATCTTGCCGTCCTCGGTTTAGAACTGCAGTGGTCCTCAGCCCTGGCTGCACAACAGAATCAGTGAGGAGATTAAAAGGCTCCCTCCTGCTGGGGGCCAACTCCTACCAATTAGGATTAGTTGGGGGTGGGGCCGGCCTTTGCTTACCTTTGAAGTTCCCACCTTATGATTCAGTAACTGCCCCTCTGCAGTTGGCATTTGGGCTTTTGACCTCAAGGTTAGGACTTTTTTTTCTTTCTGTATTCATTTATTTTTAATTGAAGGATAATTGCTCTACAATATTAAGTTGGTCTCTGCCATGCATCAACAGGAATCAGTAATCGGTATACATACGCCCCCTTCCTCTTGAACCTCCCTCCCACCTCCTACCCCATCCTCCTCCTCTAGGTTGTCAGGGAAGGCGAGGAATTCTTAATTAGTAAGGCTTTAAGAGATTTTTACGTCTTTGACCTTGGCGCCTTTCCTGACTCACCTCAAGATACATTATATTTTCTTTTAAATTCTCTTTTTTTTAAAGAGTTTATTTGAGTGAAAATTTGCTTAAAACAAGACGTTCCAAACCGGAAGTGGTTAAAAATGCTCACTCTTTTAAATTCGTAAGGTGTTCCTGGCGCTTCTAGAATTTCCCTGGTGGCTTTCTGGACATTCCTGTGCCTAGCTCATTACCATGATAATAACAACCAGTCTATTCTGTCTGTGTTAAGTGTTTTAAATACAAAATTAGTCTCAAGCTTCAGAAGAATTTAAAGCATTAAAGCTTATTTTACTAATTCTTTTTTTTAATATTTATTTTATTATTTGGCTGTGCCAAGTCTTAGTTGCTGCATTCAGTTCAGTTCAGTCGCTCAGTCGTGTCTGATTCTTTGCAACCCCATGGACTGCAGCACGCCAGGCTTCCCTGTCCATCACCAACTCCCGGAGCTTGCTCAAACTCACGTCCATCGAGTCGGTGATACCATCCAACCATCTCATCCTCTGTCATCCCCTTCTTCTCCTGCCTTCAATCTTTCCCAGCATCAGGGTCTTTTCCAGTGAGTCAGTTCTTTGTATCAGGTGGCCAAAGTATTGGAGTTTCAGCTTCAGCATCAATCCTTCCAATAAATATTCAAGACTGATCTCCTTTAGGTTGGACTGGTTGGATCTCCTTGCAGTCCAAGGGACTCTCAAAGAGTCTTCTCCAACACCACAGTTCAAAAGCATCAGATCTTCAGCTCTCAGCATTCTTTACAGTCCAACTCTCACATCCATACATGACTATTGGAAAAACCATAGCCTTGACTAGATGGACCTTTGTTGGCAAAGTAATTTAATGTCTCTGCTTTTTAATAGGCTGTCTAGGTTGGTGATACCTTTTCTTCCAAGGAGCATCTTCTAATTTCATGGCTGCAGTCACCATCTGCAGTGATTTTGGAGCCCAAGAAAATAAAGGCTGTCACTGTTTCCACTGTTTCTCCATCTATTTGATGTGAAGTGATGGGACCGGATGCCATGATCTCAGTTTTTTGAATGTTGAGCTTTAAGCCAGCTTTTTCACTCTCCTCTTTCACTTCCATCAAGAGGCTCTTTAGTTCCTCTTCACTTTCTGCCATAAGAGTGGTATCATCTGCGTATCTGAGGTCATTGATATTCTCCCAAGCGTTTTGATTAGAGCTTGTGCTTCATCCAGCCCGGCATTTTGCGTGATGTACTCTGCATATAAGTTAAATAAACAGGGTGACAATATACAGCCTTGACTTACTATTTCCCAATTTGGAACCAGTCCATTGTTCCATGTCGTAGTTACTGCATACAGACAGGATCCTTTTTTTAAAGGTGCAACACATGGGATCTAGGTCCCTGACTAGAGATCAAACTCGGGCCCCCTGTATTGGGAGCAGAGTCTTAGCCACTAGACAACCAAGGGAGTCCTTTACTTTACTAAATCTTATAAGAAGTAGACTATATATATTATAGGCCTCCTTTTACAGGTCAGGAAACTCAACCTTTTATCCAAATGCCTGATACATAGTAAGGGTGCATTTCTGTCAGTGAAACTGAACAATGCCAGTCATTTGCCTTCATCAACATTCATGGAGCTATATGCTAGGCACTAGAGATGTATGATTTTTTTTTAAAGGCATTGCCTTTAAGAACTTCATACTTGGGTGGAAAAGATGAGTAAATAAATGATTTCAATATACTGTGGATGTGCTAAGTTTCATGATAAATTTACACACAAAATATGATGGAAAGGCAAATGGAGGACACCTTACACTGCCTAGAGGCAAAGAGGAAATAAATTTGAATTGTTGAGGTAAAATCAACAGGTCTTTTTGGCCAAATGAATGTGGAGGGCAGAGTTGAAAGAGGTGGTCAAGATGCCTGCCCAGTTTTGAATTTGTGCAACTTACTAAGTAAGCAGTCTCACTCCTTGGTCTCCACAAAGTCTAAAGTATATAGATTCACCTTCACAGTGATTCCTATAGATAGGGATGGGGATTCAAGTAACATCGTAATGGCTGGAGGTGCTGCAAAACTTCAGTACTGAATTATTTATATTTATATATATATATATATATATATATAATGTACACACAAGAGATTATTCTATTATAATAATAATCACCATGCACTTGTTACTATGTGCCTAGAAAGAAATGTAGAGACATACACTTCAAACGCTTTGTAATAGTAATTATCTCAGGGGATGAGGGAGGAAATTAATGGAAATCTTTACTTTTCATGTATTTCTCTGTAATATGTTGCTTGTTTTTCATAATGAGCATATATGACTTCTACAAAAAAAAAAGGCATATTTTAAAACAAAATTAAACCCTCTAAAGACTCCCCATTGCCTTCAGGATAAAAAATTAAAGAGTTATTGCACAACCTACATGTTCCTTGAAGGCACCATATTATCTTTCATCTCTGCTCTTACAGCTGCCAGAAAAGCCCTCCCAATTTCTTCTTTAAGGTCCATTCAAATATTTTCTCCAGTATGTAATTCCCCTGACTTGCTCTTGCCCTTGTCCAGGGCAAGCCAAACAGTTCCTCCTGGTGCCCCCACTCTCAAGTTGACTTGTCATTATTTATTTACATGACTATTTCCCCAAATAGACTACAGGCAGAGACCCTCACAAATCTCATATCCTCAATTACTGTATATATACCACTTGTGGACTTACTGAATGAATTTCATCAGGAACTAACAGCCTTGGTTAATTATGTTACTCAGTCAGCCATAGAACAGGTATCTAAAATGCTTATTTGTAAATTTATGATTAGAGATATCCTTGGCAAAAGAATGGACATTTTCCCTCCTGGTGGACAATCCATTAGAAATAACTAATACTTACTGGGCACTTACTATAATGCATGCACTGTGGTTGCTCACATGCTTTAACTTGAATCCTCACAATTCTGTGAGCTGGGGAATGTATTAACAACCTCATTTGGAGGAAACTGAGGCATAGGGAAGTGAAGTAAATTTGTCCAGCTTCATAGAACTGATAAGTAGTGGGAGTAGGGTCTTTATCCAGATGCTCTTACACCAGAACTTGAATGTTAACCACGTTGCTACACTGCCTTATAGGAGAGATGTAAACATAGGACAAAAGAAAAGAAGTCATGTATTCTCAAAAAATATTTTCCTCATGCTGTGATAGATAAAAGAACTCTTTACCTTGTACTGGAGCAACACTCAGACCAAACGCTGGCCAGTGACCCAAAGGGATGCTGACTGGCTGAACCAATCAGAGACTCTCTAAATGAGATTTGAACTCAAGATAGAAAGAAAACTCTGACCAAAGCTGGTAAAACAGAGAGAATAGAAGACATGAAGTAGTAGAGGGTGCAAGTCAGCAGAAACCATCAAGTAGAGAACATTGAGGTATAATGATATTTAAAAGCAGAGACATTACTTTGCCAACAAAGGTCCGTCTAGTCAAGGCTATGGTTTTTCCAGTAGTCATGTATGGATGTGAGAGTTGGACTATAAAGAAAGCTGAGTGCCGAAGAATTGATGCTTCTGAACTGTGGTGTTGGAGAAGACTCTTGAGAGTGACTTGGACTGCAAGAGATCCAACCAGTCCATCCTAAAGGAGATCAGTCCTG